AAGTGAAAATGAATTGGGATAAATCCGAATTATATAAATTTAGCACTAGCACAATTCCTTAGCGGTCCACTGTTCCCACCTACTTTAGACGCATTTGATGCAGGAATCAGTACATTACTGGTGCACTGTATAATGGATGCATCAAGAGTCATGTCGTTTGTAAGTATGTGGTTTTAATGCTATTGTGGGGGAAATCAGAGTGGTTGCGACCTAAGTGTTATTCATTGACATATCTTAGCCAAGGCTTAGGTGCCACCTAAATTCGTCATCACGCCATGCATAGACTACACTTATAAGTGGGTGACTAAAGGGCTTGACAGAGCACCGAAAACTAAATGGCATACCTCGATTTGGTCCTAGCCACTTTCTCTATATCTCTGTTTGAGTAATATCCTCGCAGAGTCCACAAGCTGGCCAATGGGGTGGACAACACCGGTCGCCGGCTCCTTGTAGTTCGACGCCACGTCAGCTGAAGCTGAACCCACACCTTCGAAGATGATGAAGGCAAAGCGTTTAAACAAAGTCACCAGCACCTTTTTAACAAAATCACGACACATCACGACAAATCATTAGTCGCTGGCAGAGGTTGGCTTGGTAAGAAATCGCAGTGCCTACAAAATATATTTACCATATGACTAATTTTACAGGAAAGCAGCTTTTCGTGTTTGAGAAATTTAACAAAAACTTCCTTGAAACAAAATTCTGCGTAATAAGTTGGATCAATGGATTACAAGACAGATGATAGGACTTACCAACAAATCCAGGCAAAGCTTTTAGTGTTTAAATCTACTTATCTGCAAAAAATCATTTGCTGTCAAGAAAGATTTTGATAACTTTATGAAAAGCATGACAATCAAACATGACATAAATTTAAAACTGAATGCTCTAACAGGTAATGCCTTCTAGCAAATCAGGGCAATAAAAGATTATGTTTGCGGGTGCTTAGGCAGGCAAATTTTAAAGAAAAATAATGCAAAGGCTGTAAAAAGGCCGCATGTGATACTTAGGAATGCACCCTCGAAAAAAGCAGCAGCACAAAAAGGGGACAGAGCTACCTTTGCGCCTGCCTTGGCAGCGAAACAGTCGCGCACTTCACTGAGAGCAACTTCACAGAGGCAAAGGCAGCTCCATTAGGCACTGATGAGGTCAAGCACCAACTCTGGCGGATTTGCTCACAGAGGGAGAAGGCGTGAAGGGAAGGGCAAAGGGGTGCACAAATAAGAAAG